GCCCGCACACTCACCATTTCGTGCTTCTGGGGACCTGGCGTCCGGGGCCGGTTGGAACCGGCCGGAACCGGCTGTGGCGGGACCGGGCTTCCCCGCGGTCCGCCCCGGAGTCTGGGGGCCACAGTCACCGCCAGCGCAGCTCGGTCCCTGCGGCCCGCGGGGTGGGGCTGGGCCGGCAGCCGGGCCTGGGCGTCCTGTCCGGTCCCCTCGGGGCGCCCTGGGCCCGGCGCCCTCTCTGGGCGTCCCCGCGTCCCCAGAGTGCGGTGACGGCGGGAGGGTCGTGGCGGAGGGTCGGGACTTGGCGTGTGGGGTCGTGCGTGGGCGGCGCTCGGTCTGTGGGGTCCCCTGTCCCTTCTTTCTCCTGTTAAAAATTAAACTGAAGCACTGTTAAAAATTGATGGATTTAAGGCCAGGAGCGGTGGCTCAACCCTGCAATCCCAGCACTCCGGGAGGCCGAGGCGGGAGGATTGCTCGAGCTCAGGGGTTCGAAACCAGCCTGAGCAAGTGCGAGACCCCATTTCTACTAAATATAGAAAGAAATAATTGGCCAACTAAAAATATATAGAAAAAAATAGCCGGGCATGGTGGCGCCAGCCTGTAGTCCCAGCCACTCGGGAGGCTGAGGCAGGAGGATCGCTTGAGCCCAGGAGTCTGAGGTTGCTGTGAGCTAGGCTGACGGCATGGCACTCAAGCCGGGGCTACAGAGTGAGACTCTGTCTCAAAAACAACAAAAAAATTAATGGGTTTCATGAATGAGAAACACCCAGTCATGGTTTATGGTTTGTGGTTGAAGGAAAGGCTTTTATAAGTTCCAGAGGACCTACCTAGATTAAATGCTTAGTTGGTGACAGTTACATAGTTGCCTTCTTTGGACTTGTCAACCTGAAATAATCAAAAGGATCAGATTCCGGTAGGGTTTTTTTGTTTGTTTTGTTTTGTTTTGTTTTTTGAGACAGAGTCTAACACTGTTGCCCTTGGTAGAGCGCTGTGGCATCAGCCTAGGTCACAGCAACCTCAAACTCCTGGGCTCAGGCAATCCTTCTGCTCCGTCTCTGAGTAGTTGGGACTACAAGCATGTGTCACCATGCCGGCTAATATTTTTCTATATATTTTAGTTGGCCAATTAATTTTCTTTCTATTTTTAGTAGAGACTGGGTCTTGCTCTTGCTCAGGCTGGTTTCAAACTCCTGATCTTGAGTGATTCACCGGCCTCTCAGAGTCCTAGGATTACAGGCATGAGCCACCACTCCCAGCCATTTTCCTAGTTTTTTAATTAGGTTGGCTTTTTCTTTGATTTTTTTTTTTGGGACAGAGTGTCTCACTTTGTTGCCCAGGCTGGAAGTGGTGCCGTGGCGTCCAGCCTAGCTCACAGCAACCTCAAACTCTGGCTCAGCGCCGCTGACTGCCTCAGCTCCCCGAGTAAGCTGGGACTAACAGGCCATTGCCCAGACCATGCCCGGCTAATTTTTTTACCATATATAAATCAGTTGGCCAATTAAATTTCTTTCTATTTATAGTAGAACGGGGTCTTGCCTCCAGGCCTGGTTTTGAACTCCTGACTTGAAGCATCCGCACCGCCCTCAGCCTTCCCAGAGAGCTAAGGATTACAGGCGTGAGCCACCGCGCCCGGCTTAAGTGGCCCTGTTTCTTTCCTTGAGTTTTCGGCATTCTTTTGTATCATTTTTGCAATAGCCAGTTCCTTTTATACAGAATAGGTGTTTTGGAAATAATTTGACCCAGTCAGCAGACTTTCATGCTATTAACCATGTCTTTTGCAAAACAAAGTTTTAATTGGAATAAAATCAATTTATCAATTTCTGCATGTCACAGAATCTTGCCTTTGGTTTTGTATGTGAAACCTTCTTGCCCACATTCAAGGTGGTCTTGATTTTCAACTGTTATCTTCTAGAAGTTCTGAACTTTGCATTTTCCATATAGGTTAATGACACTTTTTGAGTTAAGTTTGTGACACTTATAATTCGCTGTTGTTGAATTTATTTCCTTGGCATATTGTTAAACATCACCCCGTATTCCTTTATCATATGTTCAAAAGATTATATATATAGTATTTCCTTTGAACTGCCTGTGGCTTTTTTTATGAAAGATTATGTTCTGTATCAGTGTGGGTTTATTACCAGGTTCTCTATTATGTTCTATTGATGCATTTTTGTACTCCTTTCAAAACTGCACACTGTCTTGATTGCTTTGGCTTTATAGGAAATCTTGTAGTCAGTGTTTTTTTTTGCAAACAGAGTCTCACTCTGGTTGTCCTGGCCAGAGTGCTGTGGCATCAGCCTAGCTCACAGCAATCTCCAACTCCTGGGCTCAAGCGATCCTCCTGCTTCAGTCTTCCGAGTAGCTGGGATTACAGGCATGTGCCACTATGCCAGGCTAGTTTTTCTATATATTTTTAGTTGGCCATTAATTTCTTTCTATTTTTAGTAGAGACAGGGTCTCGCTCTTGCTCAGACTGGTCTCGAACTCCTGAGCTCAAACAATCCACCTACTTTGGCCTCCCAGAGTGCTAGGATTACAGGCGTGAGCCACCACACCCGGCAGTAGTCAGCTTTTTAATTAGGTATCATACTGACCATTTTGGATCTTCTGTATTTCTGTGTCTATTTGTACATGTGTATACTCAGTGACAAAGCCTTTGTCAGAGGACTACATGTGTATGCCTTATAAATCTGGCTTTTATTTTCTGACATGGTCAGCCTAGTCTCACCTCCCTTCCCAAGTTGAATAGGATTATTGAAAGCAGATATGCTTGTCTGTTTCTCATCTTTGGGATAAAGCATTTAATATTCATCAGCAAGTGTGGTAGTAGCCGTGCATTTTTTATACATGCCTTATAATAAATTGAGCGACTTTTCATCTATTTCTAGTTTATTCAGTATTTTTATCATGAAGGGATGTTTAAGTTTGTCACATACTTTTACTGCATGTAGTACAATGTCCTTGGGGTTTTTGATTTTAATTCTGTCAATATGATAAATTGAATGAATTGATTTTCACAGGTGAAAGCAATGTTGCTTTCCTAGATTAAATCCCACATGATCATGGGGTATAGATGTTGTGATACATTCCTGGATTCTCTTTGCAAGTATGTGACTGAGGCCTTTCCTTCTCCTTAAAGGAGATATTTCTGTAAAGTATTATAGTGTAGCCTAGTATTATCTAGTGTAGTATCTAGTGTTTATATATACACATACACATATATATGCCTGCACAGAGTTTTTATAGGTATGATGTGGCCCAATTACAGGATGGGAGATGACACAGAACATAAAATAACGACACAGACACACATGGACATGACAATGACTCGGGTGACCAATGCACCGGTCAATTTATTTTTATACCCCCCAGACCCAAGGTTAGTTCTTTGTACATGAGCATCTGAGCATAGCAGCGATATCAGTCAATTCTGGAGTTGTTTTAAAAGGGAACAATTTCCCATGGCTCAGACCTCAAAACCTTGACCTAAAGTTAAGGTGCTGGACAGAGCTCAAAAGCCAAGGCCGAGCTAGGCAACATAAAACAATGCAGCCATTTGAAGTGCTTCTTAGTCTCAATCCCAGGCGGTGGCTCCTCCCTGGCCCCCATGGTTGTGCCTGTTTTAGGTCGCCGCCCCATGAGGAGTCTTACCCATCATTGACTACCAACCATCAATCGGGGGCCAGTTCTTGGGAGAGTTCTGCTTGTTCTTGTTCTCATGGCCTCCAGACTCACACCACGGTGGCCCTCAGTGTGCGAGTTAGGAGCATTTGTTTATGTGCAACAACTCGGGCCTCTTATGAAGAGGCTGGGCAGTAACCGTGTCTGAAGAAAATGCTGACTACTGCTGCATCAGGCAGCACATGTACATTACAGGCTGTAGTGAATGATTAGTGTAAGGCATAACACCAGAATCAGCCCCCAACATAGGTATAGTGTTTTGTGTTTTTTTTTTGAGACAGAGTTTCGCTTTGTTGCCCCAGGCTAGAGTGAGTGCCGTGGAGTCAGCTTAGCACACAGCAACCTCAAACTCCTGGGCTCAAGAAATCCTGCTGCCTCAGATTCCCAAGTAGCTGGGACTACAGGCATGCGCCACCATGCCCTGCTAATTTTTTCTATATATATTAGTTGGCCAATCAATTTCTTTGTATTTATAGTAGAGACGGGGTCTCGCTCTTGCTCAGGCTGGTTTCAAACTCCTGACCTTGAGCAATCCGCCTGCCTCTGACTCCGAGAGTGCTAGGATTACTATAGGAATAGTTTTTATAGGTAATTGATATATATTATATATAACTTATATATGATACATAGCTATCATACATGAAGAGTATTATAGTATATAGCATAATGAAGTATTATGCTGTTATAGTACAAATTTAAATAGTTTTATCTTCCATAGTATAGTAGCTTTCAGTTCCGTGTCAACCTGCAGAATTAAATACACTAGCTCATCTTCTCATGGGAACAAAGCAAAACATCACTGTATTGATGTTACATAGCGTGCCACCCCAAAATTTTCATTATCTTGTATTTATGAAAAAGATTCCATGATACGACAACAGAAGAGCTAGGAACAAAGGAAAAGTATATAGTTTAGACTACATTAGCATTAAAGCTTTTGTGCTTCACAGGACACTGTGAATAAATTAAAGAATATATGGTCATGCCACCCTGAATGTGTCCAGCCAGGTGTTACAGATCCACTGTACAAAGAGAAATTGGGGGTGACACAGGCAACACATCTTTCTTACTCATGCAAAAAAAAAAATCATGTTTTCTTATTGTACTTTTGTTTATCTAGTAGTTCAAGTCTAGCATCAGAATTGATATGTGGGTAGAAATGAGTGTGGATGGAGAGTAAAACTCTGGTGACCATGTCATAAAAGAAGTGTTTGGAGTCTGCAGCATCATGTGACCTTCTTAGGAATACAGTATAGGTCCCCAATTTTGTTGGTCTGACCCATCCTCCTCTACACATGTGGGATGTTTCAGGACTCAGTGGCCTTTGAGGATGTGGCTGTGAACTTTACCCTGGAGGAGTGGGCTTTGCTGGATCCTTCTCAGAAGAATCTCTATAGAGATGTGATGTGGGAAACCTTGAGGAACCTGGCCTCTATAGGTAAGGATGACAGTATACCTTCACACGGTGAGTTAGAGAACCAGTGTTTTAGCTCATCAGCACTATCTAATGACATTGAATATGGGGAAAGAATACTTTGGTGAATAAATCAGGCATGGCTGCCACTAGTGTACTGTGGATGTGGAAGGTAATAATTTTTTCATCATTTTGTAATAATTATTTTTCTGGCTATGTATTTTAGGAAAACAATGGAAAGACCAGAACATTGAAGATCAGTACAAAAACCCCAGGAGAAATCTAAGGTAGTAAGTGCTCATAAGTCAAAGCCACATATCTCAAGAGAATTTTAGAATGTCAGAAAATGTTAAAAACGTGCAAACAAAACAAATAAGTGCAGTGTCAAATTTATTTATACCTGAAAAATTTTCTCTAAAACCTTCACTTTCCTTGATAATGTTAAAAATACAAGTATTATACTTATTAGTAAATAAAAAACCACACACAAATCCTTAATAATGTGCTTTTCATTTTCTACAGAAGTTTTCTTGGAGAGAGACTCTTTGAAAGTAAAGAAGGTAATCGGTTTGGAGAAACCTTCAGCCTGGTTCCAGATCATATGGTGAACAAGAAAACTCCTCATAGCATAAAACCATGTGGAAGCAGTGTGCGTGCAGACATATCCATTGGTCATTCATTGCGTAATAGGCACGTCAAAGCTAATAATGGACCCAAACCACATAAGTATCAGGAACATGGTGAGATGCTATATAAACACAAGCAACGTGGGAAAGCCTTCAGTTCACACCACCCCTTTCAAACACATGAAAGGCCTCCTACAGAAAAGAAACCCTATGAATGTAAAGAATGTGGGAAAACCTTCATTGCTCTCACAAGCATTCGAAAACACATGGTAATGCACAGTGGAGATGGCCGCTATAAATGTAAGTTTTGTGGGAAAGCCTTGGACTGTCTGAGTGTATGTATTATACATGAAAGAACTCACACTGGAGAGAAACCGTATGAATGTAAACAATGTGGTAAAGCCTTTAGTTTGTCCAGTTCAGTTCGAATACATGAAAGAACTCACACTGGAGAAAAGCCTTATGAATGTAAAGAATGTGGGAGAGCATTCAAGTTTTCAAGTTCCTTTCGGAGACATGAAAGGACTCACACGGGAGAGAAGCCTTATGAATGCAAAGAATGTGGGAGAGCATTCAATCGTCCTAGTTCCTTTCGGAGACATCAAAGGACCCACATTGGAGAGAAACCCTATGAATGTAAGCAATGTGGGAAAGCATTATCTTGTCTTATAAGCTTTCAAAGACACATGAGTATGCACACTGGTGATAGACCTCATAAATGTAAGATATGTCGGAGAGCCTTTTATTCTCCCAGTTTATTTCAAAGACATGAAAGAACTCACACTGGAAAGAAACCCTATGAATGTAAGCAATGTGAAAAAGCATTCAGTTGTTCCACTTCCTTGCAGTATCATAAAAGGACTCACACTGGAGAGAAGCCCTATGAATGTAAACAATGTGGGAAAACCTTCAGATCTGCCAGGTACATTCGAATACATGAAAGAATTCACACTGGAGAGAAGCCCTATGAATGTAAACAATGTGGGAAAGCCTTTCGTTGTGTCAGTTCCTTTCGTAGACATGAACGAACTCATACTGGAGAAAAACCCTATCAATGTAAGCATTGTGCTAAAACCTTCCCTTGTTCCATGTACACTCGAATACATGAAAGAATTCACACTGGAGAGAAACCTTATGCATGTAGGGAATGTGGGAAAGCTTTCATTTGTTCTGCTTACTGTCGAAAGCATGAAAGAACTCATAATATTAATACATGAGAGAAATGGTATAAGAAATTAGGAAAGCAGTTATCCCAGTTCCTTTCAAACATAGAAAAATTGAGTGGAGAAACACTATATGAGATGGCTGACTTTTGAGTTGGACAGAGAGAACTGATGTAGGACAATGAAATCAAACAATTGAATAATTCCGTGATACAATTACCAGGAAGTGTATCTGACATGAAATTTCAAAGAGAAATGAAGAAGCCATTAGTCATGTTTTGGAGGCACCATACAGGGGGACAGAGAGATTGTACAAGCTGCGCTGACCCCTGTTTCCAGCCTATTTTCCTGATTCCTTGGGTTGCCAATTAAGAGTGTGCTCAAAATTATTTGACTTTCATTTTGGCAGAGGTTGAAGTTTCCAAAGAAAGATATCCCCAGATGGTCCACACTAAAGGTCTCTGCAAAGTTTGATTTTTCTTTTGGCATTATAATCTGTTTATTGGAGTGCTGAGGAAAGATGATTGAGAAATTAATGAGTTGTGGCTCATAAGATTATTATTGTGTTGTATCGCCCAATATTGCTAAATTAAAGACAGAATTGCCCAGCCTAGAATCTTATTCCCTGCAAAACTAAGTTTTGTATATGAAGGAGAAATTAAGACATTCTCAGATAAGCAAAATAAAAAATAAAGACAATTGATTTCAGGAGTTTTGGAGGACTTTAGCTTGAAGGAATGTGTGAACAGGTTAGTTTGCATATCAGGTTGGCTTTGCTTTTGGAGAGCCATCAGAGCTCCAGTAGCCATGTGTTCCAAGAGGCTTCTGATATCTCAAACCTGTGATGCCTCCCTGTCTTTGAAAAAGACAAGGCAAGTATATACATGGTGACATGGGATGGGAGCCTGAACAATGAGTGCCCAGCCCAGAGACAAACTCCTGTGGCTAAGAGCAAATTACCAGAAAGAGCTGAGCTTCTTTCTTGCTCCTGATTGTCTCAATCCACAGTAACTAGATAAAAGAAATATGGAGCCACTGTATCTCTTGGTTACCCTTCTGTTAAACGATAGCTGTCTCTTAGAACTTAGAAGGTAGTCCTTGAAAGATTTTGTAACCATTTGTTCACATAGATAGAATAGGAATTTTTAGAAGCCCTCTGAAAAAAATTTTAATTCAAACCCAACTACCTGTTATTATGTAAATCTGTTACTCCTGGAACCCAAATACATGTTATGTAAATCTGTTACTCCTGGAGGCTGACATATGTGTTATGTAAATCTGTTATTCCTGGCAACCAAACTACCTGTTATAATGTAAATCTGTTACCCCTGGTGACGGATAACTGATATCTGTGATTATAAAACCTATGTGAAACTTGAGACCTCATGAGACTGAACTAAATTTTCACAAAATGACTCTTTATTTAAAATAGTAGTGATTCTTTTGTTTTCCAGAGTCTTGACAAGTTTTTAACAAGTTTACCTGATCTCTGGGACCTTAGAACCATGGAATCTGCCAAAACCCTGTTCAAATATCCTCCCTAAACAAAAAGAAAAAAGAAAAACAAAATCCTCCCTCTAGGCTCAGGGAGTATCTTGGAAGAGGGGGCGTGTCAGATGGTAAGAGGCAATTCTGAGGGATGGAATTAGTTTAGACCCTCCAGATCAAGGAGGAGCACATGGAAGCTAAAGGAATACTAGCTGAAATACTTTGTGTTTTCAGGCCACATGCTGCAGATATCCATCCCAATCATAAAAGTTTTTTTTTTTTCCTGCTTTCTATAGACTCAGAACTTAGTGAGTATAATTTTTATCAGTTATGGTTTTATACAAAAAGAAATAATGAGTAATTTATCAATCATCTTAGTATAAATTGCTAAGGAGACTAAAATGTGAAACAATAAAAATCTAAAATTCCCTTAGCTTAAATGTTACTGATGCTTCTATTTGCTACAAGCGTACCACTAAACCCACGAATATAGTGCCTCAATACTTTTAGATAAATTAGTTCTGTAGCTTTGCCTTTGACATTTTGGATTTTACTCTTATGTCTCACCAGGAAGGTTTTGAAGTGTTGATGAGTGCCTCTTTACCTCCAGTCCTGGTAAGCTTAAAATTCTTAATTGGCTGTAAGCCTCCTTTTGGCTCTTCAGTCCTCTTGATCATAAGGGTCCACCAAGGGACTGGATAGACCCAGGGCAGGCAGCCATACCACCTTGGGAACCGATGGGACAAAAATTTGGCCATAGATGCTACCTCGGACATATCTTGGCCAAAAGGGGGGAATTGTGAACTAAAATAAAATTTTATGGCTCACCTCCCCCAACCTGCTGGCTGAATGGACCCCTTGTGGCCAAAGGAATATGCTAAAACTAAATTGTCTGCCAAGAGGAGGGAGGTCAAACATGCCTCATCATGCCCCCCTCCCTTCTTGGAGACATCCTTTGTAACCCACTAACAGGCCTCAGGGTATGCAAGACAACCTGCAGGTCCTCAATTTACACAACAAATCTCTGTCCCATGGCTCATCTCTGGTGACAGCTCCTTATGTTGAAACATTCCAATCCTTTAGACAAAGTTACATGTCTTTAACCAATTATAAGCCAAAGAATCTTTAAACCCACCTATAACCTGTAAGCACCCCCCCATTCAAGATGACCCACCTTTTCGGGCCAAACCAATGTATGCCTCCCGCTTATTGATTTATGACTTTATCTGTAACCCCGGTCTCCCTGAAATATATAAAACCAAACTGCAGGCCCAGGTGTGGTGGCTCATCCCTGTAATCCTAGCACTCTGGGAGGCTGAGGCGGGTAGATTGCTCAAGGTCAGGAGTTCAAGACCAGCCTGAGCAAGAGTGAGACTGTGTATCTACTAAAAACAAATTAACTGCACAACTAAAAACATAGAAAAAATTAGGCAGGCATGGTGGCACATGCCTGTAGTCCCAGCAACTCAAGAGGCTGAGGCCAGAGGATCGCTTGAGCCAGGAGTTTGAGATTGCTGTGAGCTAGGCTAATGCCACAGCACTCACTCTAGCCTGGGCAAAAAGTGAGACTCTGTCTCAAAAAAAACAAAACAAAACAAAAAACCGAACTGTAAACCAGCCACAGCAAGTCCACTTGCTCAAGGCTTCTTGGGAGTGGCTCCAGGTCATGGTCCTCAAATTTGGATCAAAGTAAGTCTCTTTAAAACTATTTTATGGAGTTTGGCTTTTTTTCCCATTGACAAATTCATAAGCCCTTTGTCCAGGAGACAACCCAAAGTATTTTTTCTCTGAGACTGGCCATCATAGATTTTCTTCATACATGGAAATTACAGCCTGACTGCAGCGACCCTATGCATGTCACAACAGAAATAGTTTCCAGAAAATGGCCCCACGACTCCTGATGTCCAACCTGCGCAGAAAACAATGAACCCCCCCCAACCACACCTGTTCGTGGGTCCCTCGCTTTGTCAGTGCCCTGGGGACTTCTCAGAGTCACACTCTGCTGTGTTTGCTCCTGCGGCAGCTGGAGGCCCTGGCATTTTGGGAGGGCCAGCGCTCCTGGGGAGCCCCCAACGCGGGGAGCCGGGTGCTCCCCTCTTTGAGCCCTCCAGACTGGCTCAGCTTGGAGCCCCTCGGCTCGCTGCAGCCTCTGGCCTGCCCCACTGCAGGGTGCTCTCCACTGCTTCCTACAGGCGCCGCTGCAATGGTGTTTTAGTCTTTTCTCGCTCGCTTGAACTATAGTCACACTCCGCGGCCTGTGTTTACCTCCCTGAACATGGAACTCAGCGACTCACCTGTCTCTTCAATTTTACCTTCCAGACCTCACTTGCTCTAGCCATAGAAAAAATCCTGGTGGTGCAGAAGGCGTATTGTTGTTTTCCTCCAAACGTCCTGGCGCAATTACTTTTGTTTGTCTCCCCCCTCCAACTTGCAGGGCACATGACTTAAGGTTCTCTCAGGATAAACTAAAACGTTATTTGAAAGTGTCCCACGTTGGACTTCGTGATGATTTTAGGAAGATTATCTATTACAATTAATAGTTTTGAAGATAATGTCAAGCAGAATATAGGAAATTCTGATTGCGAACGCCGCGCCCACGAGTGGGATGATGTCACCGGACAGGCCTATTTGGAAATCAGCCCATAGCATGAAATCCAGAACCTGCCAGCTGGGCCCCATGGGGTGCTGGTAGCACACTGCATGCTGGTACCAGTAGTTTCTTAGAGTGCAGCTCAGTATTTGTACAGGAAGACAGCAATGTCTGCTCAATCCTATGTATTATACAAATGTGCACAGTGGCTTTTGGAATGTTGCCATCAAGGTCCCCAGCAACGTTCCTAAGTGGGGCCCTTTGAGTCTGGTGGGGAGGAAGCTCCATTCCTGTAAGCAGAAGTGGGTATGCACCAATATGTCTTGTAAACTTCAGTTACAAAGTCTGAAGTTTGGAGTGAAACACCATTTACCTTTGGTCTGGAACTGATACTTCTAGAGCAGAGTCCTAAAGAATGGCATCGGAAATGGAGCTATAAGAGGAGGAATGGGATTGTGATGATTATCGGGTGAAAGGTGTATAGGGAAGGGGAACATTTTTTTCTATTTGGCACCTACTTTCAAATGTATTTCCAGTCAATCATTTCTAAAACCTGCCCACCCTTTTTCCCCCTAGTGGCTGTGGCTCAAAACTTTCTGGTTCTTTTTTCTTTCTCATCACTTCACCTAATCATCTCTAAATTGGGTATCTTGCCATTTATAGCCTCATTTTTTTCATGACATAGTTCAGGTCTTCATCTTCATCTTGCAGGTCTTCATCTTGCCATAGCAGCAACCTCGTGGTTAATGTCTTTTTCTGTATTCCATACTACATACTGCTGCTATGTTATTATAATTGTTCTTTATTCATTTAGCTAATATTTGTGGTGCACTTACGTGCCAGGCTATTCATGTCAGAAAGATGACCAACTAATGAGTATATGATTATGAACTGAATGCTCTGAAAGAAAAGAATTTTAGAACTCTCTAGAACTCTCTAATTCTAGAAGAGGAGGTAGCAAAGAAAACCAAGACAGACAAATTTATGTACTTATTTTATTTAATTCATTTATGAGTCAGGATCTTGCTCTGTCACCCAGGCAAGAGTGCAGTGGCACGATCATAGCCACTGCTGCCTTGAACCCCTGGGCTCAAGCGATCCTCCTGCCTCAGCCTCACCAGTTGCAGGAACACAGGTGCACACCAGTATACCCAGCTAATGTTTTAAAAAATTTTGTATAAATGGGATCTTGCTTGCTCCCCAGGCTGGTCTTGAACTCCTGAGCTCAAGGGATTCTACTACTTCAGCCTCCCAAAGTGCTGGCATTATAGGCCTGAGTCACCATGTCTGTCCCAACAAAGACTTTTGTTTTGTTTTGTTTTGTTTTGAGACAGAGTCTAGCTCTGTAACCCCAGGCTGGAGTGCAGTGGCATCATCATAGCTCACTGCAACCTCAAACTCCTGGGCTAAATTGATCCTCCTGCCTCAACCTCCTGAGTAGCTGGGACTACAGGCTCCCACCCTGCTAATTTTTCTATTTTTAGTAGAGATGGGGTCTTGCTGTTGCTTAGGCTGGCCTTGAACTCCTGAGCTCAAAGGATCGTCCTTCCTCGGCCTCCCAGAGTGCTAGGCTTACAGGCGTGAGCCATTGCCCCAGCCAACAAACACTTTTAAAATTGCAATTCTGATCATTTTACTTGTTGAAAAAACTTTAATATCTCCCATTGGCTCCATAGGCCAACATTCAGGATCCTGTGTGATTGATTAAACCTGACCTTCCTCAGCCTTATGTCTTATCTGTCCACATCTTTGTTTTATACCCATTCCTCCAACATGCCCTGCATTTTTCAGTTTCTATGGTTTGATTTTTCACTTTTTCTCTTCTGTTGGAATGCCCTTCTTTGCTCCCCTGGCATTCAGCTCCCAAATCCAACTCTTCCTTTAACCTAGCAAAAACTTTCTTCTTCATAAAGCCTTTATTACCCCACATCTTCCCACCCACGTATCTCCAACCTTTATTTCATCTTCCTCTGTATCTTTAACTTTTAGTTTTATTTTTTGAGACAGAGTCTCACTCTGTTGCCCCTGCTAGAGTCCCGTGGCGTCAGCCTAGCTCACAGCAACCTCAAACTCCTGGCCTCAAGCAATCCTCTTGCCTCAGCCTCCCGAGTAGCTGGGACCACAGGCATGTGCCACCATACCCGGCTAATTTTTTCTATATATTTTTAGTTGGCCAATTAATTTCTTTCTATTTTTAGTACAGACGGGGTCTTGCTCCTGCTCAGGCTGGTTTCGAACTCCTGACCTTGATCGATCCGCCTGCCTCGGCCTTGAAGAATGCTAGTATTACAGGCATGAGCCAATGCGTCCGGCCTGTATCTTTAACTTTTTGCTATG